AACGGGGAGAGAAGAGGGAAAAGTTTATCGATGGGGGACAAAGAAGGAAACCTCTTTAAAAACAGTTAGGTGTGATAAAGGTTTCCAAATTTGCCTGATTAAATTCCCACGGGGGGTGCGAAGAGGTGGCGAAAATAAAGGGGGAAGTAAAAAGTTTGGGAAATGATCACGTCATGTAAGCCCCGGGAGAACAGACCAAGTGAAGTCAATGCGGCGGGGGGAAGAGAGATTGAAGATCGATGCAAAGAGGATGACCCCGAGGTAAAAAGGGGTTTGAGTACCTGTATTTAAAACATGGAGGGGGGGTGGCAAAAAAAACCCTCTAACTGTTCCACGGGAATACAGTGAGCCCCCCCCCCAAGGAAATGGTGGGCATTAAAAATTTCCCCAAGAAAAATTGGTGGCGGTAATGACGAAAAAGGGAAAGGCAAAACCCGGGAAATAAAAGCCCGGAAGGAAGAGATTAAAGAACAGAGGTATACCACCTATGTAAGGGGATACGGGCTGCTGGTAATCGCGAAGTATGAACAATAGCGAGGTACGGAATACATGGGAGAAAAAGGGGCACTTTCATTAAAGGTCCCATCAGGAAAAGGATCAGAAGAATACAAAAAATTATACCTGGAGTGAAAAATAACAGCAGATTAATTTTGGTTCCGTAAGCAAACCCCAAACGGGGGAAACTGGGGGAGAAACATCTGAAGCTCACCCCGATTACCCTGGGCCGCTATATTCCACTGTAAATGGGCCAGATTGGAAATGATAAAGATACTTAAAAACCCCCGGGGGTAAGGGTTCCTACGGACAAAAGGGTTAAAAAAGTCCCACGGGGGGCAGTGGAAATGTTCAAGCAGCAAAGGGAACGGTCGCTGGAAAAAGGATTTGCGCAGTTGGGCAAGGAGAGAGAAAAGAGCAAAGGGGGATCAGTGCCCTGGGGTTTGGTCTCTGAATATATCAAGATTGCTTCAAGTTTTTCGGAATTCAGAGAGCATGGGAGACAATTTTGGGGAATGGAGGGGGAGGATGAGAAAAATTGGGAACTGTTTTGGACGTACCAAAGGGTAGGGGGGGGCGAAAAGGGTGGGGGGAACGGGAGAAGCGGGGCGGGGGACAGAGGGGGGCGGGAACCCGGGAGGTGGCAGAAGAGGAAAAATTTGGAGGGAACAGGGAGAAGGACATTACAGGAGGGGGGTGAACCTTGCACTTGTAACTGACCAGTGAGAGGGGGGAAAAACTAGGACAAGACAGGGAGGGGAAAAAGAAGGGTGGAAGATGGGGAGGGGGTGTTACCGACCCTTTTTTTTTTTTTAAAAATTTTTTAGAAGTAAGGGACGATTGGGAGGAGGGGTCGAAAGGGGGCCCCGATACTGACTTGTGAAGAAACTGAAGAAGCAATTAGACTGGGCGTTAAGTAGGGAGTTTAGCCGGGACAGCAAAAAAGGAAATTTAAAACAGGGGTGATTATGGGGGAGGTAACCACAGAGGGGGGTAGAGATGGGGTACCCAAAATGGGGGGACGTTTTTTAAACACGGAATAAAAACACTGGGGGTTCCCCTTGGGGCGGAGATGAGAAATGCCAGGCATAAGGGGGACCTTCTGTCTCTTTGAGTAAAGGATTTCCCCCCGTTTTAAAATAACCCACAAAGCGAGAGTACGAAGGGGGCCCCCTTTACAGTTAAGGCAAGAGGGAAACGATTGCAAAACGTATAAATGGGCACGGGACCACGACGGGGATTCGGCGATAGATTGCAATATTTCGCTGGTGGGCCCAAAACGCCAGCAATTTCTACACTGTTGTGGGGTAGGGATCACCTTTTTGAACTTTTAACCGATGTCCTGCTATATAAACTGAGGGTGGGATTTTGGCTGTCAAAAGTTAACGAGCCACATTGCTAGGGTATTCTCCGCCCCCGGAGAAGAACGAAGTGTTACCTTGAGGGTTGGGAAATTTTGGGGTTCCCGCTGTTCTAGAATGTCGGTGCACATGTCGGAAATTTTGTTGAAAAAATGGATGGGGCAGAAGACGGTACCCTACAAAATTGAGGGGAAAGATGTTTTTCAAGGTGACAGGAACAGTATCGATATGGGAAAAGCGGAGAGCTCATGACCCGGGTAGCATTCTGTACGGTAATGATGGGGGACCGCTCTTAAAGCATGAAAAAAAATACTTTTTCCCCAGGCGTAGGAGTGCCTTGCCAAAACTATGGTCAAAAAAATACAGTAGAGGAAGTTGGTCGTTTTAAAATGAAGAATTTGTCCCACTTTCAGTCTGAAACTGACAGGAAAGGTAGTGAAAGGGCGTTTTCAATGTTTCTGAGAACGAGAAGGTGAGAAGTATCATCAGCAGGTAATTGTCGTTGACTTTAGGCGTGGGACCCGGTTGGTCCGACGGAAAGGGGGGGGCGGCATTTGAAAATTGCCGCACCGTAGAGGGAGAGGCCCGGGAAACATATCAAGGGGACGAAGGGCCGATAAAACGAAGGAGTCAGTCGAGCCCAGTACCTGAAGGGGGTGAGGAAAAGCACCCGGCAAAGGTACAGAGGCATGAGGAATCTGAAGAGTGGCCAAGACGAGGCGGGGGGCAGAAGGGGGGCGGGTCAAGAAGGGGGCCCGGGGGGGGTACCAGGTTCATTGGGGCTAGGGCTGCCATGGTTAGGTTTCTTCTTTCTTTTTGTTTTTTTAAAAAAAAAAAAAGAAAAAAAAAGAAATAAAAATAAAAAAAAGAAAAAAAAAGGGGGACCCGGGGGGGATAGGGCCCAGGAGGAATAAAGGGGCCCGAACCCCTCCCGCCCAAGAGGACCTCACACCCCAAGTTAGCGCAGATGCAGCATGGAACCCCTGCCATACCCTCCCATCATGCTAGTAAAAAAACAATCCGGAAGCAACCTCACATCTGCCGAGTACCCCCGGTGGACAAAAAGAGGCGGCCGGGTATCCCCACAAAACATACCTCCCCGGCCACCCCCCCCGGAATCCGAAAGGTGGCTTTTCCCGAATACACTCGCGCCCAAAGACACCCAAAGCTATCCGGGGGTACCCGGGGGGGATCGGACATCCCCAGGCGTCCAGATTCCACGGCAAATTTCGCCACCGCTAAGAACCTCAACAAAGGGGGTGGACCCCGGTATCCTTTTTCCTACCTAGGAACTAGCCGCCTTGGGGAAACCCCAAAAGGGCAAAAAAGGAAAAGGCCCAAAAAGGGGGGAGTGGGGGGGAGGAGAGGAAAGGGAAAAAGGGGGGGATGGGGAAGGGGGGGAGATTGGGGGGGTTTAATTAGTTCGGTCGAGAAAAACCACAGGTCTAATTCCCGACCAAGAGCCTCTTCACCACGCCAAGGAGCCCCCCTTTAAGAGGAAATACATCTATGAATGTGATTTTTAAATACATATTTTACATTTTTATAAAAATCTATTTAAAACATCACCCTTAAGTGATTATGTTGCGACTTATTTTCAACAAAGTACTTTCTTAAAATTTTTTTCCAATACAATCTACCTGATCTTTAACCCTTTCAGTGTTGGGCCCCTATTGTACAGCTTGTACCAGTGTTGGTCCCATATTTATACAAACCAAAAATTCTACACCTTCAAAAATGGTGAAAGAAAGTGGTAGACATACATATGAAAGAATAGGTCTTGTGGGCAGTGGTGCAGTATAAAAAAAAAAATCCGCAGCAGCATGCTGAGAAAAAAACCCTCGTTTCTGGTTTAAAACAGCGACTTTGCATGTATTTTCGTAAGGTATTTATGGTTGAGCTCTTTTCTTTGGGTTTTATTTGATAGAATGGAGATAATTGGAAATAGGAATGATTTTTATTGGTTTCATGAGAAAAATCCCCGAAATTGGACCCAAAGTAGCGGAAATGTTCGATTTTTTTCCCAGTTCAGGGGTAAACAAAACACGCCAGCATCCAATACCATCAACTGGCAGTCTAATATTCTTTCATAAGTCGCTGATATTTTTTATTCATTTTTTCAATAATACGTATCTGCATAACAGCAAAACTTCTACTTTTTGTGAGAATAAAATTCAACATGGGAAAACAAAAAGTAAAAAGAGAGGCCCGGAGACATGACTAAGAAAGAGAAATGTTATTTTAGTGCCCGAAGTCTGCTGGTTTTTTCTGGACCCATTTTTTGAAATTGGCATCTTTTGAAATTTGGTTGAAATTGGCCAAATTACCAATTTCTGACCACTTTATTGGGTAGTTGAAATCTGTAAATGGGTGGTTTCTTGTACTCAATTGATAGAACAAAGGATTCTAGCAAAAAAAGCTATGATTTTAGTCGACTGGAACAGTGGAATGAGCCGAAAACAGGGCTCAGAGTGGGCGAAAATGCCAATGCGTAAATATCGCTGATATCGCTAACTTCGTGAGAGCGTAATTTCATAAGTTTTCCATCAAATTTCATACTTTTGGTGTTATTACCATCGGGAAAAGATTCTCTTACCATTTCATAAGATTTTTTTTTTTTTTTTGAAAATTTTTCGACCCTGAGAGTGAGTTAAGGATTGGGGGTCTCGACCTTTGAAGGGTTAATTAATACACTCCATGACCTACACTTTAGTCTACGAGGTGCATTCAAATTTTTTTTTTCCAAACACTTCAGTGCAAGTCTTTCTACATTAAGAACAATAGACTGTATTTAATTTCTTTAATATTTAATTCTCATAACCCCTAAAGTAAGTGAATATTAGTGAAACGGGAACAAACTAGGATAACTTTGCTTCGTGTGTGCCACATTAATAGTTACATTTCTTCTTACAGTAACCTCTCCTACAGTATCTGTTAGCAAGATAGCAACATGCTGTGTCATTAAGATTGTTACAATGTCCACAAATTTAATTTCAATACTGTATTCTAAAATACTTCAATATTTTGTATAGGGACAAACACCAGGAACAAAAAAAGAAGACACCAACAACTATTTGTTTACATATGCTATTTTCAAGGACTCCTACACTTCAAACACAGGACACAAAATATGGAGAAGCGTACCCCAGGACGAGGTGGTGCTGAGAAGGCCTGCTGGTGAGAGCGCTTCATACTGCCAGATGGGTTTTTCCCTCCTTTTGTCTGTGAGGGAATAGCCACTTGAAATGTGTAGCCTGTTTCTGCTATCCTACCAAAACAAATTATAAAAACAAATAATAAAATATAAAAAATATACTAACAGGGTTTAATATTTGTTATAGAGCTTTTACTATATTACAGATGTACTCCATGCATTGTATGTGAGTTTGGTTACCGAGTATACTTTAACCCTTAAACGGTCCAAACGTATATATACGTTTTTTCAACATTTGAAAGTATGTAAAAAAAGTAGATCTTTTTTGTTTTTTTTTACATTTGAAAATGTGTAAAAAAAACTTTGATCTACTTTTTTTTTTGTTATATTTGAAAATATGTAAAAAAAACGTAGATCTACTTTTATAGCACTACACATGTGAACATAGATCTGCTTGGACCGTTTACGGGTTAAATAACCAAATTAAGCTTTAGATTTTAGATTTTCCCACCAAAACTAGTTTATTGTGCACCCCATATCCATCGTGTGGACGGTAATGCAAGAGCATATGGATGTACACAAGGCCTAGGAACTAGGCCCCAAAAGGGATAACAGGAATACATATGGATTTATATCTACAATTGATTTATCTGCTGCAAGCAAATTTAAGATATTTGCTTAATATGCCTGGTATCTTATTTTCATTAATAAGATACCATGACATATCACATACATTAGTATACTGTATCTCTACATTCCTTAGTAAGTGGCAGTTTTAGTAGAAATCTAATAAAAAATACAGTACTCTTATCTTTTCAATTATAGTATGTACTATATCTATTTTGAGCAAAAATTCCCTTTATATTAGCAAATTCAGCAACCTATCTATTTTTTTATCTTAATTTGTTTACTGAAAGATTAATGAGAAAACTGCTCTTTCCACCAGACAACAATTTTCATGAAGGTTAGACATATCTCACAGAACACTGAAAGATGAACTATATTTCACACAGCTGAGTAGGTCTGTATAGTTTCTGTAAATGATATAAATATTACTGCACTAGTTTAAGAGGATTCATCAAGTGCTCTGGAGTGGAGGAGGAATATGAGGTAAGAAACACATACTTTTAAATGCATTCCTAAACTACCTGAATTTTATCTGTATTCAATTCTGGAGTGTTTAATTCCATTTTATAAACCTAGTCCTAAACCCAGGGAACTTTAGCATATAATTACATTAATTAATTAATTTTTTTTTAACAAGTCGGCCATCTCCCACCGAGGCAGGGTGACCCAAAAAAGAAAGAAAATCCCCAAAAAGAAAATACTTTCATCATCATTCAACTCTTTCACCTCACTCACACATAATCACTGTTTTTGCAGAGGTGCTCAAAACACAACAGCTTAGAAGCATATACATATAAAGATACACAACATATCCCTCCAAACTGTCAATATCCCAAACCCCTCCTTTAGAGTGTAGGTATTGTACTTCCCATTTCCAGGACTCAAGTCTGGCTATATAAAAATAACTGGTTTCCCTGAATCCCTTCACTAAATATTACCCTGCTCACACTCCAACAGATCGTCAGGTCCCAAATACCTTTCGTCTCCATTCACTCCTATCGAACACGCTCACACACGCCTGCAGGAAGTCCAAGCCCCTCGCCCACAAAACCTCCCTTACCCCTTCCTTCCAACCTTTTCGAGGATGATCCCTACCCCCCCTTCCCTTCCCCTACAGATTTAAATGCTGTCCATGTCATTCTACTTTGATCCATTCTCTCTAAATGACCAAACCACCTCAACAACCCCTCTTCAGCCCTCTGACTAATACTTTTATTAACTCCACACATTCTCCTAATTTCCACACTCCGAATTTTCTGCATAATATTTACACCACACATTGCCCTTAGGACATCACTGCCTCCAACCGCCTCCTCGCTGCTGCATTCACAACCCAAGCTTCACACCCATATAAGAGTGTTATTACTACTATACTTTCATACATTCCTTTCTTTGCCTCCATAGATAATGTTTTAATGTCTCCACATATACCTCAACGCACCACTCACCTTTTTTCCCTCATCAATTCTACGATTAACCTCATCCTTCATAAATCCATCTGCCAACATGTAAACTCCCAAGTATCTGAAAACATTCACTTCTTCCATACTCCTCCCCAATTTGATATCCAATTTTTATCTAAATCATTTGATACCTTCATCACCTTACTTTTTTCTACGTTCACTTTCAACTTTCTACCTTTACACACACTCCCAAATTCGTCCACTAACCTTTGCACTTTTCTTTAGAATCTCCCATAAGCACAGTATCATCAGCAAAAAGCAACTATGTCAATTCCCATTTTGTATTTGATTCCCCATAATTTGATCCCAACCCTCTCCCGAACACCCTAGCATTTACTTCTTTTACAACCCCATCTATAAATATATTAAACCATGGTGACATTACACATTCCTGTCTAAGACCTACTTTTACCGGGAAGTAGTCTCCCTCTCTTCTACACACCCTAACCTGAGCTTCACTATCCTCATAAAAACTCTTTACAGCATTTAGTAACTTACCACCTATTCCATATACTTGCAACATCTGCCACATTGCTCCCCTATCCACTCTATCATATGCCTTTTTTAAAGCCATAAATGCAATTAAAACTTTCCTACCTTTATCTAAATACTGTTCACATATATGCTTCAATGTAAACACTTGATTCACACATCCCCTACCCACTCTTAAACCTCCTTGCTCATCCGCAATCCTACATTCTGTCTTACCTCTAATTCTTTCAATTATAACCCTACCATACACTTTTCCTGGTATACTCAGTAAACTTATTTCTCTATAATTTTTACTATCTCTTTTGTCCCCCTTCCCTTTATATAAAGGGACTATACATGCTCTCTGCCAATCTCTAGGTACCTTCCCCTCTCTCAAACATTTATTAAACAAGAATACCGACCACTCCAACACTATATCCCCCCTGCTTTTAACATTTGTCATGATCCCGTCAGTTCCAGCTGCTTTACCCCCTTTCATTCTACGTAATGCCTCACGCACCTCCCCCACACTCACATCCTGTTCTTCTTCACTCCTAAAAGATGGTATACCTCCCTGTCCAGTGCATGAAATTACCGCCTCCCTTTCTTTGTTGACATTTAAAAGTTCCTCAAAATATTCTCACCATCTACCCAATACCTCCATCTCCCCATCTACAAACTCCCCTACTCTGTTTTTAACTGACAAATCCATTTGTTCCCTAGGCTTTCTTAACTTGTTTAACTCACTCCAAATTTTTTTCTTATTTTCATTAAAATTTCTTGACAGTGCTTCTCCCACTCTATCATCTGCTCTCCTTTTGCACTCTCTCACCACTCTCTTCACCTTTCTTTTATTCTCCATATACATCTACTCTTCTTATAACACTTCTGCTTAGTAAAAACCTCTCATAAGCTAACTTTTTCTCATTTATCACAACCTTTACTTCATCATTCCACTAATCACTCCTCTTTCCTCCTGCACCCACCCTCCAATAACCACAAACTTCTGCCCCCACATTCTAATACATGTACTGCATTTTTAAAACTATTCAAACCCTCTTCAACCCCCCCACTGCTCATACTTGCACCAGTCCACCTTTCTGCCAATAGTTGCTTATATCTCAACCGAACTTCCTCCTCCCTTAGTTTATACACTCTCACCTCCCTCTTACTTCTTGTTGCCATTTTCCTCTTTTCCCATCTACCTCTTACTCTAACTGTAGCTACAATTAAATAATGATCCTATATGTCAGTTGCCCCTCTATAAACCTGTACATCCTGTAGCCTACCAATCAACCTTTTATCCACCAATAAAAGGTTGATTGATAGGCTCCAGGATGTACACGTTTATAGTGGGGCAACTGACATATCGGATCATTATTTAGTTGTAGCTACAGTTAGAGTAAGAGGTAGATGGGAAAAAAGAGGGAAATGGCAACAACAAGAGGGAGGTGAGTGTGTATAAACTAAGGGAGGAGGAAGTTCGGGTGAGATATAAGCAACTATTGGCAGAAAGGTAGACTGGTGCAAGTATGAGCAGTGGGGGAGGGGGGGGGGGGTTGAAGAGGGTTGGAATAGTTTTAAAAATGCTGTATTAGAATGTGGGGCAGAAGTTTGTGGTTATAGGAGGGTGGGGGCAGGAGGAAAGAGGAATGATTGGTGGAATGATGAAGTAAAGGTTGTGATAAGAGAGAAATATATTATGTAATTATTACTCAAGACATGCTGCATGTAACTATACGCTAAGTTTTAGTGTCTGAAAAGATAAGAAATTTCAATGAAGAATTAGAGGTGCAAGTACAGTAGAAAAACAGACATTTAAGTTGTTTTAATAATGCAATGAACATTAAAAAATGGAAAAAGAGTAATGTATGAAACATCTATAAATTCCCTACAAGTCCTAGGGCATAATACACTAACAGACTGCATAATGGAGTACATGATTCAACCACCAGTAGGGATGTATAGTAAATGCAAGCATATCAATATACAAAATGAGATGATGCATAAACAGAGAAGATAGGTATGCTAGTGAGGAATATTCATAGCAATGAAGTTAAAATTTACTGGGAAGTAGTAAACCTAATGTGAGCCAATGTTACATAGTACTATTGAGATAAATATCTATACTTACACTATATATTAAACACTCATAATTATAAACTCAAGAAACATCTCTGTATCTGTACTGCTTAATGATTTAACTCAGAACACATAATGAAATACTGTACTGTAATAATACAGTATTGTTCACTGTCTCCATGCCAAAGGAATTAAATATTTTATAGTCTAGAGCTGATGTATGTAGTAGAGACTTCAAGGTCAGAGCCTTGGTTACCATTTCACAAGAAATGAGACTTGTGCTTGTTCACTTTTTTCAAACGTTGTTTGCTCATGTGTAAGCTGGGAGCATACCTGCTTTTATTTTCTAAAAATCAATTGTTTTTTACAATGACGGGTTGTACTTACGAAAAAGTCAGGATAATGCTTTAAGTCTATTAAAAAAA